AACCTGAGAGTGCATGCTCAGACCAACAGCTCCATCAGCCTGCGCTGGGAGGAGCCCCAGGGCTCGGACGCAAGGGACTTTATCTACTGGGTCCTGTGGACTGGAGACGGTGACACAAATGGGACCCAGAACACAAGACACACCAATGTCACTCTGGATGAGCTTCAGCCTGGATCCTTGTACCAGTTTTTGGTGTGGTCAGAGAAGAATGGGATTAACAGTACTCATGAGACTGAAAATGCGACCACAGGTGCGTTGGGACCAGCTGTTTTTCCTTTCTTTTTCCTCTCTTTTTAAATGTTGTGGTAGATGGTTTTGGAGGGTTGCCAGGCGTCCATGCCGAGTTGTGGCCCTTGGTGTTCCTGGCCACGTTCAGCCAGACCCTCGCGTGCTCACAGGAGCAAGCTGAGTGGTCCTGATGAATTCTTTGCTCGGGAAGTGAGGACTAGCTGCCCTCGAGCCTCCTGCTTCTGGTTTCGCGTAGCAGCTTAGTGTCCTTTTCATTGCTGAGAGAAATACCTGACACTCAAAGCTGAAGGAGAGAATTTGTTCTGATTCTCAGTTTGTAACGGCTTCGGTCCCTAATTGGCAGCTCCAAGGCAGGTTGTGTGGCAGAGGGCCTTCACTGAGCAGAGACAGGCCGGCAGCGGGCAGCAGAGTAGCGAGCGCGTGCGGCGAGCAAGATCAGTGGGCAAATGCAGTAGTCACATGCCCGAGCCAAGCGCCACACCCTTGGTGCCAGCTTCGCACACTCTAGACCCAGTGGCAGAACCGGGGATTGAACTCCGATCCTTGCGTTTGCCAGTCAAGCGCTTATCCTACTGGGCCATCTCCCCGGCCCCTACCCAGGCACCTTTGAAAAGCTCCCTGTGACCACGTGAGGCTTTGGGGACCCACCTGGGTACAAGCTATAACAGATGGTCTGGGTCTGAGCATCCCACCTACCCTGATGGGCAGAAAAGGAGCCCTTCTGTCATCCCCAAAATGCCCTGGCCTCGTTTCAAATATGTATTATTAGTGCATATTAAGTTCTTAAAGTATTGGGATTCATTGTGACATTTTCAACCATGATCCATGTTAAATTAATTTTCCTGCAGGGTGAGTGATAGAGATTTAATTTCAAGATTCTACCTGATATCTGGTTTTCCCAATACAATTTGTTAAAGAGACCGTCTTTTCTCCAGTGTATGTTTTGAACTCTTTTGTCCAGAATGAGATGAGTGGGGCGGGCGGTATAGCTCAGCGGACTAAGCGCTTGCTCAAGGAAGCGCGGGGGCGGGGTTCGATCCCTGGCGCCCCGTGCCTGCCTGCCGCGCTGCCCGCTCTCGGGCGCCCTGAGCCGGCAGTGGAGTCCGGGCGCCTGCAATCCCAGCCCTGGGGAGGCAGAAACCGGGAGGAGCGCTGCAAGCTACGTGGTGAGACGCTGCGCACACAAACAAAAAGAATCTGATGGCTTCGGTTTTGTTTCCTTTATTCTGTCCCATTGGCTACGCTTTTTTTTTTGGTCTTTTTGAGACGTCTCATTTTGTAGCACAGACTGGACTCTTATGCTCACTTTTTTTTTTTTTTTTTGGTTACAAATATTTTTATTATTATCTTCCTGCAGATACCATGGTCAGTAAAGCAGTTTTTGTTTGTTTGTTTTGTTTTTTGTTTTTTGACATAAGTTCTTTTTTTTTGTGGAACCAGGGATTGAACTCAGGCCCTTGCCCTTGCTAGGCAAGCGCTTATTCTACTGAGCCATCTCCCCAGCCCCCAGTAAAGCAATTT